CCCCAAAACCCCAAAACCCCAAAACCCCAAAACCCCGTTTAACTCTCGAGATGTTGAAAGATTATTTAATAATATGGGTGCCTCTAATACTAAAATTCAATCAAGCTTTTGATGTGCAGTAGAGAGAAGAGATTGTAAAGATAAAGGTGATACTTCAAGTAAAACAAAGATCAAGCGAGTGGAAGATCACCAGATCGTGGACACTACTTCTAAAGGTAATGATTACTTTAGCTTTGTTAGTTTTCACAATCTTCCAGGGTTTTAGGTTTCTTTTGATTACATCCCAAGAAATAGTTACACTTTATTTTTGGTCTTAATTTAGCTACTTGATATTAGATTATAGAGCCTATTTCTTTGTAAAATAATCAACTTACTTTGCCAACTCAGCAAGGATAAGAGATTTTAAAAGCTATCTCCCAAACTCTACTACTCATTTTCTCTTGTCTTCTTATCAAAGCTTGGTAAAATAGTGCTATATCAGGGTTAATTCTGGGAATTTTCTGTGCTCCTTGTTGCAGTTGTAACAATAGGACTCACCATAATCGCAAATAACGCTAGAGAATTAAAGCTTTCACTTAGAAATAGCCTCAGCATTGTGGGCCATATTTAAATAAAGCTTGGCTTGTTAAGAAAAGTTGATATTTCCTGCATATTTTGGTCGGAGATTCATTGACCACACTTTTCTCCAAATAACTGCACTTCTTCGGAATGGGATAGTAAATGAACTATGCCTTGAGCTAGTTAACGATGTGATGATAAATCATTTGGTTGATGCTTTGCTAAGTTCCAGGCTTTATAGAGACACTTTAGATTTTATTCCTCTTTTGAAATGCCGAAAGCCTGATGGATCATAGAAATAATTATTTCAGTATTTTCATAATTTGATACGCTTTCAGAATGAGTGATTAATTTATGGTACAGTTTTTAGGAATTCAGAATAATAAGATACTTTATTTTCTTACAAGTGAGAACTTGAGAGTGCTAAGAACAAGTTTTAGTTATTATCTAAAAATTTTGAAAATTATAAAAAAATGATTCTTACATCATTTATAATTTCTTTTTGTTATTAATCAGTATGGTCGCTATCTTTAACTGAGTTCATTAATCCAATAATCTTCAAAAATATTTGATGGTTTTCGAGCTTATCTAGTAGCTCTAATCCTACATACGGACTTGAAAATTGCACTCTTTATGTAATTCAGCTGTATATTAATAACTTTATGTAGCCAAATTAGCTGAGCAAGCAAAGGTGTGAAATAAACAATCTTCAAAAGAGTATAAGAAGAGACTCATGAGAGCGAAGCCTAAAAGGTATATTGTTACTAATTTAAGTTTAGTCAGGAGGTTATGGCTAAAACTAAAAATAAGTAAGCAAATGTTTTTGTATTTTGTTAATAATCTTTAATAGAAACAAGGCTTCAAAGAAATCTCAGAATAAAGCTAGCAAAAGAGAATCAATAACAGGCTGGGATAAGCTTATGAGTAGAATAGAGCTGAGCAAATTCAGCCAAAAGACCAGTCCTGCTGAAATCAGAGAAGCTGGACTGTCAAGCACCTCAGCTTCCAAATCGTAAGTCTAATTGCCTCTTCCTCTAATTCCACATAGAAGCCTTCACAAGACCACTTCCTTTACCTCAAAACCCTCTACATTCTCCAAAGGTACCCTCCCTCTAACCCATAGACCCCAACTTCGACTTCTTCAACGCCTTAAGCGAGTACTCATCCCCTTCCAAAAGGTCCAAACCCAAAAACACCCCCCTCAAGATCGACAGCTGCTACCTCACTAAGACCAAATCAAAAACCTATCCTCCCAAAAACTGCACTCAGTCCAAAATCTTAACTTAGCCTTAAAAATTTCAATTACTTCCCCTCCTTCAGGGGTTTTGGGGTTTTGGGGTTTTGGGGTTTTGGGG